AGGATGGTCTCGATCTCCTGACCTCGTGATCCGCCCGTCTCGGCCTCCCAAAGTGCTGGGATTACAGGCTTGAGCCACCGCGCCCGGCCACAGTATCACAGTTTTATTCATTATTCTATTATTGCAGATATTGAGGTTGAGGTCTCTCTTTTTTTTTTTTTCTGTTTGGTTGCCCATGCTGTAGTGCAGTGGCGTGATCATGGCTCACTGAAACCTCAAACTCCTGGGCTCAAGCAATCCTCCCACCTCAGCCTCCCAAGTAGCTGGGTCTACAGGTATACACCACCCCACCTGGCTAATTTTTTTTTTAGTAGATACAGGGTCTTGCTATGTTGCCAGGGCTGGTCTTAAACTCCTGGGCTCAAGCAATCCTCCCACCTGGGCCTCCCAAAGTGCTAGGATTACAGGTGTGAGCCACAGAGTCCAGCCAAGACCTCTTTTTTTTTGCATTTCAAGCATTGCTGCCCTAGATACCCTTAGAGCTGTTTCCTTGAACACATGTGTGAGTTTCTCTAGGTAATATATACCTAGATGTGAAACCATTGGTCATAAAGCATATACACATTCAGCTTTACTAGCATTCTTGCCAGAATGTCTCACGGAGCTTTGTATTGCTATTTTCACAGAACGTTATGATGTTTTTCAAGCTATTGTCATTAAGCCATTTCCTTGTTTACCCATCCCCTTCCCCATGAATTACTGAAGGGTCTCTGTGTGACTGGCACTCAAGGAACACTAGAAAAGTGAAAGGATGAGCTCACTCTCTAGCAGAAGAGAGAGACAATGTGTTAAGGGCATTCAAGGCTGTTAAGATCTCATCTGGCTGAGATCCAGGGAGGGCTTCATCAAGGAGGTAGCATTTGAATTGGGCTTTGAAGGGCAGGAAGATGAACAGATGAGGTTAGAGATAAGGACCAGGACTGGGATGGGGAGAGGCAGTGGCTCAGACAGTCCAAGGCATGTTTGATTTGCCACAGCAATGGTTCTTAGCCGAGCTGGGGTGAGATGGGGCAGAAAAGCCAGGCATGTGTATTTTGTAAAAACTCCAAGGGCATCTGACACATCTCCCCTCCCCACACACAAATAACCCCTGAGTGGGAGCAGAGCATGTGGGAAGGGAGCCTCACTGGAAAAGGCAGGTTGGGCTTAGTCCAAGATGAGCCTTCAATGGCAGCCTCTGGGTCAGAGCTGGGTTCAAAGGTCACTCCCAGGGGAAGTGGGCAGAGTCATGGGGACACCAGGACCTGGGATAGGACTGAGTCGGAAAGCCTGCCCTTCCCACTCACTTCCCCTCCTCTGTCCCTGTCTCTGGGAACAGATCACGGCTGTGATGGTCTGGGTTCCCTCCCCAGCCACACAAGAGGGCACTGGGACTGGGGCTCCTTCTGCTCCTCCACTTGGTAGCTCTGTGATCCAGGCCAGGGGCTTCCTGTCCCTTCCTCCCTGGCTGCTCCATGCAGCACAAGCTGTATGCATGTGCCTGGGCCAGGGCCCCAAGGAGCCCCTCCATGGAGTGTGAGGCCTGGGCCTGGCTAGGCCAAGTCCCCTTCCTTTGCCTTGGCTCAGCCCCTTGGAATCTAGGTGGGGGCCGGGTGGGAATCCTAGCCTTCCACCTTCCCTGCTCCCGTGACACGAGATGTCCTTCAGCAGAACCTGGTTCTGGGCTCCCTGCCCAGAGTGGAGGGGAAGGGGAGAAACGCACGACCTTCTCTTCCAAGTCCTTTTGTCTCAAGCAACTTCAGCAAAACCACCAACCAGCCCCAGCAGTAAGAGGTGAGCTCAGGATGTGTCAGCTGTGCTTGGGAGGACAGCGCACAGATGGCTCCCCTGGACACAGACTGGCCACGGCCCCAGTTTGGGTTCTGCTGCTTTGGTGTGTGAGTGTGGTTGTGGCTGTCACAACCTGTCAAGCCACAGCTTTCTAATCTACTGAGCAGGTAACTCAGATTTGCTTTCTCTCCTAAGGCGTAGAGAGGATTAAAGAGTAATGACAGGGAATGTGAGGCCGCTGAGTGGCTCCAGGGCCTCAAGCCAGGCTCACCGTTCAGGCTGTTGTTCTGCTGCTTGAGAAGGTCTCCCCAAGCCAGGCCTAGCTGACACTCCTGGGCACATGAGGCCCCAGCCAAGGAGGGATCCCTGGTCCAGCAACAGCTTGTTCATTGTATGGAAGGACACTCCCTGCCCACACCACACAGACACACACACACACACACACACACACACACACACACACACCCCTTTGGTTCTAAGAAGATTCCCCCTCTGCCAGGTCCTCAGGGATGTGAGAAGCCTTTTTGTTTTTTTGTTTTGTTTTGTTTTGTTTTTTGAGACAGGGTCTTGCTCTGTCATCTGGGCTGGAGTGCAGTGGTGTGATCAGAGCTCACTGCAGCCTCAACCTCCTGGCCTCAAGTTATCCTCCCACCTCAGCCTCCTGAGTAGCTGGGACTATAGGCCTGGCTAATTTTTTCACTTGTTTGTAGAGACAGGGTCTTTCTATATTGCCCAGGCTGGTCTTGAACTGCTGGGCTCAAGCAATCCTCCCTCCTAGGCCTCCCAAAGTCTGGGATTATAGGCATGAGCCACCATGCATGGCCTGAAGCCTTTTTGAAGGAGACAGTTCAGTTTTAACAGTGCCTGCAGCAGTCAACATTGTTGGACATTGTTTGGTGTCATCAAAAAAGCATGGTCTGGCTGGGCATGTTGGCTCACTTCTGTAATCCCAGCACTTTGGGAGGCTGAGATGGGCGGATCACCTGAGGTCAGGAGTTCGAGACCAGCCTGGCCAACATGGTGAAACCCTGTCTCTACCAAAAATACAAAGAAATTAGCCGAATATGTTGGTGCACACCTGTAATCCCAGCTACTCGGGAGGCTGAGACAGGAGAATCGCTTGAACCTGGGAGGCGGAGGTTGCAGTGAGCTGAGATAGTGCCACTGCACTCCAGAGTGGGCAACAGAATGAGACTCTGTTTCAGAAAACAACAACAACAAAAAAAACATGGTTGCCATCCCAGAGGTCCCTGGACAGCTGGCCACTCAGCAGGCAGAGGGATGAACAAATGGAAAGAAGGGGACTCCTGGTTACCAAGCACCATGCTGGACACCTTTCCGCTTCCTCCCATTCATCCTCCCAATGGCTCTGTGTGGAGGGAATTGCTTCACCATGTTGCAAATGAAAGACTCACGGAAGTGAAGTGAGCAGGTAATGAAACAGGTGGGAACGCAGCTCCCAAGTGCTCCCCCAGGCAGTGAGTCCATATGTGACAGGTCCTCTGTGCTTCCATGCCCCCCCATCAAAGCAGGATTGATTTCCCCACAGGGCCCTGTGTCTATGTTCCATTGCCCTCTGTAGCGTTTCTAGCCTATGGCCAAATCACTGCCACTCAGATACCCCAAGGCAATGAGGCCTCAACACCCAAAACCCAACAGACAGCCAGTATCCCAGCAGACCACGCACAGCTTCATCTTGCCCACCTATCTCTCCAAAGACCTTAGGGTCACTTTCTCTTCTGCCGCAACTCCACGGCCTGAGGCCAGCATGCCCCTGGCTGGGCACAACTCTGAGAAGACCCAGCCAGAGTGAGGAGAAGGCTTCTGTCTTCAGGACCTTGCTTGGCCAGGCCACTTAGTAATGGGGAGGGGGCAGTTTGGTTTCCTGTTGGAAGCCGGCCTGGTCTTTCTGCCTCTGATCCTCTAAGGACACCAGAGGCCCTGGCTTGGCAGGAATGAAGGTCTACAGGCACAGGGCTGGGCATGACTCACTCACCTCCAGCCCAGCTCTTCCCATCTCATCTTCAGGGTGCTCGCGTCAAACGGCAGAGTGGAAGGCTGTGAAAAGCAGAAGGTGGGAGCCCAGGACACTTGGGTCCTAGTCCCGCCTTTCTAAGCAGATCTAGGCTTTAGTTTCCCTTTGGGAAGCATTCCTAATGACTAGAAGGAGGGAGGAGGTGACAATGAGGCACCCCTTCCCCGCCCACTCTGCCTCTGCATGTCTCAGCACCAGTCCCAGGGGTGCTGGCAAGGAATGTGGCAGCTTGAGTACATATCCTGCCCTAGAAACACAGAACATGGAGTACTGGCCACACGTTGTTCTTCTTAAGAGCCACCCTCGGTTGGGCCTGAGCAATGCAGACAGATCTAGAGCAAGGACACACCATACTTCATGAGCTGCCCACATTCTCATCTCAGCTCCTCCTGTAACCCTACCTTGCAGGAGTTGCACCAGCCAACTCATGGGCAAGAATGTGGAGTTCCATTTACACCACCCATGCTGATGTGTAAGCTGTGAAAACCACTGCTCTCCCACGAGAGGAAAGAAGAGTGAGCATCGGGGCCCCACCTCAGACAAAACAGGGCACTAAAAGCTGCTGATCTCACTGGAAGCTGAGCACTTCCGCTGAGCACTTTCATTACAGCCTTTCCCAGTGTAAGCCTGCCCATGGCCTGAGCACCACGTGGGTTCCTGCAAACTGGACGCTCTGTGCAAACAGCTCCCAGCACTTTATGCCCATTATCTTTATGGTTCTTCCACCCGCCGCTTCCCAGGAAGAATCAGAGCAGAGTTCGTGGGATTTGAGAGTCGAGGCAGTGGAGAAGGTACAGGCCTGTAGGAAGCTCCACTGTGCCACTAGACACCCTCATTTTACAGGGGTGAACATCCTGTTAAATATGTTAAATGTAATGGGCAGCTGGGGATAGGGGAAGGAAACTCCTCAAGGCCCCAAGCACTACTTGAAGTGGGCTGGGGAGGGCTGACCTGCCTTCCCAGCCTAGAAGGGTGTTCTAGGCTGGCCACAGAGGGAGAGGGCATCCTCTGAAGAAGAAACAACCATGTTTCCGCCATCGAGGCAGGAAACAGATGGCTTCCACCTAGACCAGAGACTCCAGGAATACTACTTCCCATCTGTAACAAACACTTGACAAGTTTCCAAAGCCCTCCCACC